CGGGAAAAATGTTTCTAATAGCTGAAGCATCAAAACCAATCCCAAGAAAAATTCATTTTCTAAAATAAACATATTACTATATGTGGGAAAGGAGTATTTTTAAAAGAAGGGGGATAAATGGTGATGGATGGAGACTTGACTTGGGGTAGTGAACACACAATACAGTGTACAGATGATGTATTGTGGGATTGTGCATCTGAAACCTGTACAATTTGGTTAACCAGTGCCACCCCTATAAGTTCAACAAAAAGGAAAAAAAGAGAAAAAAAACTTTTTCAAAAGTTAATAATGAACAAAATGATACAAACTGGGCTTTTTCATCACCCCAGAGAAACAACTCCTTCTGCACTACAAGATAATAATAACCAAGCAAAAAATTTAATCTGTTCAATACTCTGATTGTTTTAATATATATATTTCTTATTTATTTCAGAGAGGAAGGGAGAGAGAGATAGAAACATCAATGATGACAGAGAATCATTGACTGACTGCCTCCTGTACACCCCCTACTGGGGATTGAGCCTGCAATCTGGGCAGGAACCTTGACCTCCTGGTTCATAGGTCGATGTTCAACCACTGAGCCACACTGGCCAATATTCTGAAGCTTTTACAAAAATAAAGTCCAGCCCTAACCGGTTTGGCTCAGTGGATAGAGTGTCAGCCTGCAGACTGAAGGGTCCCAGGTTCAATTCCAATCAAGGGTATGTACCTTGGTTGTGGGCACATCCCCAGTAGGAGGTGTGCAGGAGGCAGCTGATTTGATATTTCTCTCTCATCAATGTTTCTAACTCTCTATCCCTCTCCCTTCCTCTGTGTAAAAAAATCAATAAAATATATTGTAAAAATAAATAAATAAATAAATAAAGTCCATATATACAGTGTATTCCCCAAAAAATATATACACACTTTAACAGCTGATAGCTCAATTTTGAAAATAAAATGTCATTTAATAGACACTGCCTTTATAATTATTTAAAGTGTGTACATACATTTTTGGGGACACCCTACAGAATAGATGTACCCACTGGAACAAGAAAGTGTCATAACATGACTAGGAAATGAATCCATCCAACATATAAGAACAGTAGACATTACCTTAGGGACAGCAAAATGCCATAAATTTAAATTGTTTTAGACACATAAGATCCATTCTTCAATACATCTGGTACCAGCTAATGACTACAAAACCTCAAATTAATAATCAAATAGCAGTAATAATAGGTAAACTCCAAAATCTCTGTGGATAATTACCATTTTGAAAAACTTACCTTTGAGTACTTAAACACCTAAGTTTAAAAAACGAATTCTGCACCAGCTACCCTCACTGAGCAAGCATTCTTTTGTCATTTATGGCTGTTTGAGATTATGGCAGAAGATCAGCCTGTAGTTCCTCATTGAAGAAACGCAGAATTCGATCAGTACTTCAGCAATTAATCTAGAAGAAAAAAAGAAATTCTTTTAATTTCCTATAACATCTTTAACTGTGAGAAGGGACTAGAATAAGCAGTGAGGTTCATTTAGGAAGATTCTTATACTGAAAGGCATTCTTCTGCCTAAAAAAAAAATCTCTCTGTGACCTATTTAGGGGCAAAATCTTGCACAAAGTTTAAAAGTATGATGGCTAACTAGGGTAAGAATCTTTCTGCCAAAAATAAATAACGGAACTGCACAGGAGAATCTTTGGCAGTACACATTTTCAAAGATTATGCTATTCAAATAATTCATTTTCCTCAATGGACCCACATTTGCATAAATACCCCACCCAGTTCCATTCCATCCATATATACTCAGAACAAAGCATGGAAACATTTTCAGATCAAAGAATGAAAGATAATTTTAAGCTTGAAACTTCACTTACATTCTTTATTCTTTTCTTTGTATACAACAAACATTTTGTTAGCAAGAACTAGTTATCTGAGCTTTCTGATTTGGAGAGGTAATAGTACATGTTGGAAAAGATCAGTTAACAGAACCAGGAGGGAGGGGTGGGGGTTGTGGCGCCACCCCTTGTCACACACAGAGCCGCAGGGCGATCAGAGGTTGGGGAGCTCCCCCGTATCAGGCACAGAGCAGGGCTGATCAGGAGGTTGGGGCGCCTTCCCCTGTCACGAACAGAGCAAGGCGGATAGGGAGGTTGTGGCCCCACCCCTTGTCACACACAGAGCCGCAGGGCGATCAGGGGGTTTGGGCGCTGCCCCGTCAAGCTGATCCCGGTGCCGGGAGGCCTCTCAGCTCCGCTGATCCCGATGCTGGGAGGCATATTCCCCTTTTACTATATAGAATAGAGGCCTGGTGCATGGGTGGGGCTGGCTGGTTTGCCCTGAAGGGGGTCCTGGATCAGGGTGGGGGGCCCCACTGGGGTGCCTAACCAGTCTGGGTGAGGAGCTGAGGGCTGTTTTCAGGCTGGCGGGGGACAGAAGCTCCCCACCCCTCCTTTTTTTCTTTTCTTTTTTTTTATTCTGGGCCAGCTTTAGCTCTGAGGCTCCAGCTCTTAGGCCTCCGCTGCTGAAAGTAGGTATCTGGTTTGTTTCAGTTCGAAACAATGTATAACTCCAGCTCTGACTCCAGCTCTGAGATCCCAGCTCACCGAAAGCTGGTTTCTGGGGGTTTTTTTAGCTTCTATGTTTGTTACAATGTTCAAACGGCAGGCTCAGAGGCCTGCAACGCAGGGGGGGCACGTTGGCTTCCTCCATCACTGAAGCTACCAGCCTCGTGTTAGTTTCAAGCTGCCTGGCTGCCGGCTGCCCTCTTGGCTGTCAGTTAATTTGCATATCTCCCTGATTAGCCAATGGGAAGGGTAGCGGTCGTACGCCAATTACCATGTTTCTCTTTTATTAGTGTAGATTGTTTAAGGAATAATGACAAGGGGAAAAGCCTGTACATATTCAGTACCAACCATGACAGGCCTAACTATATAACATGGCAGCAACAAAAAAGCTTTTTTTCTCCTAAATATTTTCCATCCACATCTGGGTCGAATGCCTGAATGAGGGCCCCACAGATACAGAGGGTCAATTATATTTAAGATCCTTTAAAGAAGTTAACTTCAGGGACAAGATGTTTAATGAACTTATAATTCAGGTTGATACCATCATGACATAAAGAAAAGGGGGATTTGCTTGATGTACAATAAATGAAGACTCACTGGAGTCTGTCAGAAGCAAATTATATATAATCGCTAAAATAGCTACTCATTTAGTGTCCTTAGTGAAATCAGGAACCAGTTATCTCATCCTGTGTTCTCTACTACTCCCAGCCTCTAACTGAACAATCTGAAAAGCATCTTTCCTAAGGTTACACTGGGTAGGAATCTATGAATTCATCAGTACAGAGATCCTTACTACTAGAAAAACAAAGGCATAAATTTTTCAGCTATTGAGTTTTTCTCCTGAAGAGCATTGACAATGAAGATGAAAACAGCAGCAGCTAATATTAAATGAGCAGTTCCTGTGTGCTAGACAGTTCATGCACTTTACATGTATCAATTGGGTATTATTCTTTTAACCTTTATTTTAATGACACATTGCATAGAGATTTATCAATTTACCCACAGTAATCCCAACTGTTAAGGGTCAGAGGCAGAATTTGAACCCAGACAGTTTGAACTGGGTTCAAATTCTGGCTCTTAAAGTCCTTGTTCTTAATCACTATATAATTTAAAGTACCATAGAATCTCACATTTTATCAGTCAAACTGGCCACAAAATCTTACATTTTAGGAGGTCATTTATTCAGAGCGTTCTGAAAGGTTATTTAATGCGTGACATTAGTGACAAGCCCTACTAGTCAATGATTATTCACTTGAGACCATTATGTAGAGCAACTATTGAGGGCATTCAGACTGCAGTAGGCCAAAATATTTCTGCAGACTGCAAAATAGTTTTTGACATTACTTAGTCCTGCTCCACTTCCCTTTACAGAACTTAAATCATGTAAATATTCCTTCTACATCTGTAGTGAGTTGAATAGTGTCCCCAAAAATCTCATGTCTACCTAGAACCTCAAATGTGACTATTTGGAAATTGGATCTTTATGTATGTAATTAATTATCTCAAAAATGAAATCATCCTAGTTGTAGGGTGAATCCTAAATCCAATGACTGGTGTCCTTATAAGATGACAAGACACACACAGTGAGTAAGAAGGCCACATGAAGATGGAGGAAGAAAAGTAAGTTATACTGTCACAAGACAAGAAACAACATCAAGAGCTACCAGAAGCTGAAAGAGGCAAGGAAGTCTGCACCAGAGCTTCAAAAGGAGTATGGCCTTGCCCACGCCTTAACTTTAGACTTCTGGCCTCTTGATCTGTGAGAGAAAAATTTCTATTTTAGAGTCATCACATTTGTAGTCATTTGTCATTGTAGTCCTAGAAAAGTAATGGAACATCTAAACTACAATTTCCAATTCTCAAAGAATAAAAAAATAAAATAAAATAAAAAATAGCAGATACCACAAAAAAATGTCCCAAAGAAATCTGATGAAATATCTTAACAGATAGGATCAATAAAATGAAAAAGGCAGTTAAATAAAACGCTTAACACAGAGGATACAATGTGTAGACTTTCAAGGAATAGAGTGGTCCTGATACACCAAGATTGTGGTTCCATACCCGATCAGGGGACATACAATCAGCAAACAACAAATGCATAAACAGGTGGAATAACAAATTGTCTCTCTCCCCCTAATAAATTTTTTAAAAAATTTAATACGTTTTTATTGATTTCAGAGAGGAAGGGAGAGGAAGAGATAGAAACATCAATGAGCCCTAACCAGTCTGGCTCAGTGGATAGAGCATCGGCCTGCAGACTCAAGGGTCCCAGGTTCGATTCCAGTCAAGGGCATGTACCTTGGTTGAGGGCACATACCCAGTAGGGAGTGTGCAGGAGGCAACTGACCGATCTTTCTCTCTCATCAATGTTTCTAACTCTCTATCCCTCTCCCTTCCTCTCTGTATAAAATCAATAAAAATATATTTTAAAAAAGAAAAAAAAGAGCTGAAACCAGTTTGGCTCAGTGGATAGAGCGTCAGCCTGCGGACTGAAAGGTCCCAGGTTCGATTCCGGTCAAAAGCACATGGCCGGGTTGCAGGCTCGTGCAGAAGGCAGCCAATCAGTAATTCTCATTGATGTAATCATGTCTCTCTCTCTTCCTCTCTGAAATCAATGAAAATATATTTTTTTTAAAAATAACCAATCTTGCATTTGCCCCTTCTGTGCTATCTAGCATATCCAGAAATTACAATATAATTTTCAATACAGCATACCTAAGAAATACAGAATAAAGTTAAACTGAAAACATTAATTACAGACATCAGTTTAAAGTCTTTTCAAAGTAAATAATTTAAGAAAACACTACAACAGTAATAAGATTATGTCTACAACTTACTAATAACAGTTTATCATTTTACATATAAGGCAACCTATAGTAAGAGCAGTATCTGCCACCCTAACTGGTTTGGCTCAGTGGATAGAGTGTCGGCCTGCAGACTGAAGGGTCCCAGGTTCGATTCCGGTCAAGGGCATGTACCTTGGTTGCAGGCACATCCCCAGTAGGGGGTGTGCAGGAGGCAGCTGATCAATGTTTCTAACTCTCTATCCCTCTCTCTGTAAAAAAAATCAATAAAATATATATTTTTTAAAAAGATGGAATAATTTGGTCTCGTTCAATGTATCCATTTATTCATTTAAATGTCCATTAAATTAAAAAAAGAGCAGTATCTGCCAAGATAAATTATCATTTTCATGTGAAATAGTTCTACCTTCAAAATCAATAGAAATAAACAAGAAAAGTCGCTTTTGTCCAAAATGCTTTTGACAAAATAGGATACAATTTACACAGAGAAGTTTAAAAGAGCTACCTCAAAATTGCTAAAAATTACCCCTCCCCCTACCCCTCAAAAACAAAACAAAACAAAAAACTCATCACTAATATACAAAGAGAGAAGAGCCAAGAGGTCTCTTTGAGAGCTAGGTCTCAAAGATGGTAAGCTGTGGGAAAAGAGATTTAAGTTTGTAGACAAGTGCTGTGTCTAGCTATAAATCAGTGAACCAAACTTAAGAAAAATAAATTTACCCCTGCTCCATACATTCAGCTTTTCATTAGTATACTCTGAACAATGCACTGAAGCAAAGGAAAAGGCACCTCTTTCATTCTAACTGAACAAGGATGGTACTTCAAAAGTTGCCAATATGCTAAATTGGTGGTTCCTTCCTAGACTGAGAAACTGGCAAGGCATTAATTTGTCTGAGATCCCTAACAGTACACTAAGCAAACAGAAAGGTCGAACACATGTCTCACCAGCACATAAACTGATCTGTCAAGTGTTCATAGATGCTATTTGATCAGGAAAACACAAGTCATTTAAATTATTATTAGACTCATATTGACTTTGCTCAAGTAGTTTATCAAAGTATAAGTAAGAATTCATTAGAAAGT